GGCAATGGCGAGAGGAGCATTTTAATCCCGACCAACCGTGGCGTTCTCTGCTCGTCTGTAGAGAAGGAGACAGCGGACGTTAGTCTTTTTGTAGATGAAGCCACAGAAGCAATATAAGGCTTGAAAAATCTCACGGATGCTGAAATCGATAATATCCACCGTGAAATTCTTACAGCTCTAGGCGAGCAGAACATGGCCAACAACATGAACAGCCCTCTTGTAAAACTATCTGCAGTGGCTATGAGGAAGAACTGTTCTGAGAGATAGACCATATAAAGTGGTTCAATTATTAGAGCATTACGTCACTGAGCTTCTACGAGAAAGTATTCACAAAAGTGTTAGAAACGAGATGCCGGGGAATAGTTTAGGTACAAGAAAGCAATTTGGCCCTAAGGTGCAAGAAGAGCAGTGTGGCTTTGGGTCAAACAGATGTACCTCTCACCAGATCTGCACCTTTCACCAGACTACTGAGAAGTCGTGGGAGTTCACTCATCCGGCTGACATGTGGTTCGTTGACCTGGAGAAAGCTTTTGACTGGATTCCACGAGACAAGCTGTGGGCGTCCCTGAAAACGTAGGAGATCGATGGCCAGTATCTACGAGCCATTCAGTCACCATCTGTTGATAACAGGCATACTTCAGCCAACGGCTGCTAAGTCATACATGATGATACCTCGGATGACGAGGACAACAACAACAAGGTAAATGAGGCTAATGCAAAACCATTCACCATTGGCATCGGTCTCCGCCAAGGCTACGTTATTTTCCCTCCCTACGTTATTGTTATACACGGATAGAAGAGATAGCGCAGCCAGAGCGATGAGTGCATCAGCGTAAGGAGAGGTCAAGACGAGAAGGTTGTTATTTGCAAGCAACCTTGTTTTGTTGGCATCTTCTGAAACTGATCTACAGCGCTCCTTGGAAAAGTTGGCAATCGAGCGCGACTTGACCGGCATGCGAATGAACGTGTCTAAAACGAAAAGTCGAGTGCTTTCTCGTTCTCCTGTTCATTGCGTTCTTCAGATAAACAATGAGGCAGTAAAGCAGGTGGAGAAGTTGAAGTACCTCGGTCGTGTTTATGGAAAATTGCAAATTGGGAGGAAGGGATCGACCGACGAACTGGAGTGGCCACTGACCTTCATCGTGAATCATCCTGAACCGATGTGGCTACAGTAAAATAATTCTGAAGATTATGCCTCTGCATTCGAGTCGATCGTCGTCCCGATCATTATTTACGGTTACGAATTGTGGGCCATGTCACATAAGCTTCAAACCCATGCTTAAAAGGCTGAAACGGACTTTATGAATCCAATCGCTGTACTCACACGTTTCAACTGGTTCAGAGTACGGATATCTGAAAGTGCCTTAGTGCACAACTGTTGCTTCTCCCAGTCGAGATGATTAGTCATGGCTGGGATGGTTTGAACTCCTCTCGCGAATGTGCCTAAAGGGAGGAAGGAGAAAAAAATACAACTTGCCCAACTGACCGCCCAAAGATCTTGGAAAGGGCTGGGAATGATCTGATGCAAAAATCTTGATGCACCTGATTAGGACTCAGATGTCTTATGGCGATGGTCAAACGCTGGCATAGAATTGGATATCTTGGTGACAC